CGACAGGTTTGGAATTTTATCTTTGAAACGCCACACTTTTCTTTGAAATCGCTTTATTAGTTCTCGTGCAATAAGCGTTTTTGTGAAGCTCTAAAAATTACAACTACAACATTTGAACATAGCCCCCATACCTTAAGGTAAGACGTATTCTACGTCAAAAGTAAATACTTTGAATGCATTTAACTAAATAGGCGCCGACTATAAAAATTATATTTTTTTATTTTTATTTTTTAAAATTTCCGTCAGAACACTTATACATACGCGTTTGTTTCGCCGCTAATTGAATGCTTTACAAGCGGAAAAATGGATTAATTGCCGTCAAGTCGTAACGTTGATGAGCACAATTTGGCTACAAAAAAAATATGCGTAGGAACATAAAAATACATACATACATATGTAGACATAAGCACTGTATGTGCCCCGGTGTATGCACATAAAGTTTTACAACCGCACAAAAGTGGAATATTTCGAGTAGCAAACGCCCACGCGCTTAAAAAATCTGTTACGTCAATGGCAAGCACACAGCCACAAATTCTTGTTTATATGCATACAAATGTACATACATAGGTGTTTAAAAATAAAAATGTTTAAATAACAGAAAAATGCATATTTCTCGCGGGCAAACTGGCCAAAGAAGGCACTCGTCGCAATATAATAAGAACAAAAAATATTTTAGTTTTTAAAATGAATGAATGGTCAGTGAACCGGCTTTGCATATTAAGAAATATAAAGAAAATGCTAAAATAAAAACAAAAAAATAAGTTAAAATGCAACGAAAAAAGTATTTGCATATTCAGATTTCAAGTACAAATATTACATACATAAGTATGTATATATGTATGTATTCATTCAACATAAAAATCATGCCGGGCGGCTTTAAATTTTGTTGTAAACAAAACTTCTCCATTTTGCGTCGAAAATTCTTCTCTGGCACTGCAGTGCTCTTTTGGCAAAAAAAATTGTGTTTGTGCAAAATCGTTTTTTCTGGCAAAATCATTAGACGTTGTTGAGAGTTTATCCTCATTGTAAGGCAAGGAAATTTGCAGAATTGTTTACTTTGGAATATTTAAAAAAAAGTGGCCTCAAATACTAAAGTTTTCTTGTTTTTTTTTATATACATACGTAGATGCATACAAACATACGCTCATCAGAATTTGTTTCCGTACAGTGTTTTCTTTTAGCATTTTCAATGTTTTTCGTAATAATATTTTTTCGTAAATTTTTTAATAGAAATGTATCATATGGCATATAAATTAATGTTTCAAAGTTTTTACAAAATTTAGAAAAAGTCGACAACTTTCTCAATATAACGAATGCGTGATAGTTTTTTTTTTTTTTGTTTTTGTATGGGGAAAAATGCCGAAGAGCGTCAGTAATAAAAATTTCAAAAAACAACGGTAACTTATAGTCACTTAAAACTTGCGCTTTATTATACTGAAATTGAAAAAATTAAAATTGGTTTTTGGGTATTTAGGTCTAATTTCTTAAATATTCTAATTTCTGGACGTTGTTTTTTTATTCGAATATGAATTAAAAATGGATTAAATTTACTTAAAAAACTATTATAGAACTCTTTTTTCACTTCATTTTATTAAATACAAATTTATTTTTAATTAAAAATATATGGTTGCATTAAATTAAAAAAGCGGGTAACACAGATAAATGGTGATCCTCTTATAAGTTTTACTTTATTCAAACAAAATACAAGTACTAGAATTTTTAATTCTAATTTCAGAGCGTTTAATGTTTCGCAAACTCTAATTCTAATTTCTGGAAGATTCGAATATCTCAGATTTCTAATTTGTGAGCGTCTACTGTACTTTCTTTTGTTTATTTAATATCTATTATTTTTTTATAAAAGTACAACTCATTATCTAACAAAAAACAATAATTTATTCATATTCAAACTCTGTGCAAAAATTATAAAAAATCAACAAATCAAATTTTCAAATTTTTGATAATTTGTGCAGAATTTTTTCTAGTACAATAATAAAATAAAATATTTTTTTCTGTCTGTATTACGCACTTTTTCCCATACAAAAAAAAATTGTCAAACATACTTTTTATGTAAGAAAATGCGTAAAAAATTGCCTAAATTCAACGTGATTTTTTAGCAACCTAAAACCTACACCTTACTATACTGAAAATTTAGATGTAGCTTATCAAAATTTTTAAATATTTTAAGACAAAAAGGCATGTATGTTCATTCAAAAAATGTATGGAATATACGCTAAAATTGGATTGAGGCCAATAAAATTTGCGAAAATGATTTTTTAAATATGTTTTCTGAATGGTTTATTACTGCTATATATACATTCATATGTATATGTATGCATGTATGTATATATACTTATAAGTAAAAAACGATAAAGCGGAAAATTAAAAAGAATATTTAAAAAATTAAATAAATAATTCAAAATGAGAATACAAAAAAAAAAGAAAACAAAGAACTAAAAAATTCAAAGTTTCAAACAAATAAAATAAAAAATATTTAAAAATTAAATAAAAAATTACACAATATTAAAAACTTTCAACAATATTAAAATAATTCAATAATATAAAATTAAAATCAATAAAAAAAACAAAAGGTAAAGAATTTACAAAATAAAAACTTTTGAATGAAAATAAAATATTAAACAGAAATTAAGAAAAATACAAAACAAATTTAAAAATAAATTCGTAAAGTAATTAACAAAGTTAAAAACAAAACAAAAATAAATTATAAAGAAAAAACCAAATAAAATTAAAAAAGAATAAAAAAAATTAAATAAAAAAGAGTAAAACAACATAAAATTAAAAAAAGAATGAGACAAAATAAAATATAAAAGTATTATAAAATTAAACAAAGCAAAAAAATTTCTGCATAATACACAGTTAAAACAGGAAGGAAGGAGTATATCGAAAGCACATCATTTCCGGCACCATGCTAAACTCGCTTCTAACTAGGGATTAAAAGGAGGCTCTAATATTTAGGTATGTACGCTAAGACTTGAAGAAAAAAATCAACTTCCAAGCGTCTTATTTGTCGCCACCAGTTGTTCCTACCAAGTGAAGACATGGCATTTTGTACTTGGTCCTTCCATTGTATTCCAGGGAACTTGCTAGCTTTCTTCGGTCACTCTTAGAAGCCTAATATATGTAAATATTTTTTACCGAACTAGGACTTATCCTAGTCATCGCGAATGCTGAATCGGAATGCGTTTCCTTTTGTCCATATCTCTCTCTGTATCCGTCGCTAAGCTAATAGGGTTATAGATCTTGCTTAGCGTAATTCTCTCGAAAGCCCTCAAAGCCTTCTCATTATTGTTCGACATCGTCCACGTGCATAATTTTCGTTCGTTGAGAAAGCGATCTCCTTTCCGATTTCCAGCCGAGTCTAAAGTAACATATTTGTCGGAGCCTGAAAGCTCATATTACCACTTCCTTTCATCTAAACATTCGCCAAGCGCAGCCTAGATTCTTAGTTAAAAAAAAAAAATCAAAATTACCTAGCGGTATCTGCAAGCTCTACCTTGATTACTAAGCTACTATTTGTTCGCAATGAAAGAAAGTTGAATGCAAATTCAAACTGCTACTAGAAAAAAATTAGGAAGGCTAACTTTTAGAAATTTATTTGTTGCACATAAATAAGGCGGTTAGCAACTACTGAAGGAGCAAAAAATATATACATATATATGTATTTAGTATTAATAAAACCGCTAACCGCTTGAGTAAACTACTAGCCAGTGCAACTGGTGCATGAAAATGCTTCGTCTAATAGCGCGAATCAAAACAATTTAAAAAAATAGTAATTGTAATAAAAATACTTAAAAGGAGAAGAAGACAGACTAGAGACGAGCTATGTACCTACATACATACATATACGAAGCGAATTTTGCACGCAAGCGCAAGGCTGAGGAGGTGGGACGGGGTTTAACTCGTTTCTTGTTGCTTTACATGCAACAAAATAAAAACATGAAAATGCAGTTCGAACAAAGCCAAACAAATCAAATTAATTATATACATATGTATATCTAGTTATAAATATGTGTGTTAGTAATACAAGTTAATGGCAATAAATAAGAAAATTAAGATAAAAAATAAACATAAAAAAAATACTCACTCATTATCTTCCTCCTCCTTCTTTTTGGGCTGGTAGTTTTTCGCTAAACGTCTGCAAGTGAAGAAAGAAAGCACAAATGATAATTAAATATGCGGTCGAGCAAGTGCTAACATATGCTGCAAAAGTAAATATTTAATTATGTGCAAAAATTTTAAAACAAAAACTGTTTTTCGGCGGTGAACCTTAAAGTGAAATTGTTTTGTATACGAAAAATTTATATTTTATTTAATTGTACGTTAAGCTGAATGCTTAATTTATGCAAATTATATACGTATGTATGTATGTATATTTAATACATTTTCTAATGTGAATATTCAAAGTAAGTTATGTGCCGCCACAAAGAAGCCCGAAGTTCACTTGTAAGCGCATGCGCATGCGCGCGGCGCCATTTGCGCACTCAATGGGCTTTTAGTGGCGCTTACTCGTTGCTGCGCATGCGCGCCCGCATAACGTGAGTGCAAGAAAACAGCAAGTCCCCAGCCAAGTAGCCATCTATCTATCTGTTCAATCATTCAACCAACCAGTTGATGATGGATGGCATTGCAAATGAATGAACAAAACTGAACAACTGAATGGCGGATCGTGTTTATTTGGTTGGCTACAAACTTGGCAGAGACCAAGCTTTAATTGAGCAAATTATTTGCAATGTGAGTTTTATTGCCAAAACAAAAAAATTAAATAAAAAATTGCAACAAAAAACGCCAATAAAACAAAACTGCAAGCCAAGATTTCACTAAGCAAAGTGGAAAAAACGATGCGCTTAATTAAAAAAAAAAGTATGTATAACATACTCGAATAAAACATTAAATAGCATAAAATCATAGCAAGTAAGCAACAACAAATGAAACTCACATTATGTGAAAAATTTATTTAGTTTAAAGCGAAAAAGCGCCAAAGCTCAAATGCGTTTTAGCTTCGACTTGAATGTTGCGGTCGAGATGGCGACCTGAGCCGCAGCTCTGAGGTTGAGCTTCAAATGCTCACGCGATATAATCATGGGAAAAGCAACAGAAAATAGTATACTAGATATGTATGTATGTATGTAAGTGTGTTGCGTGTGAAAAATGCCAACAAAAGCAAAGAAGCTTCACAGAAGGAAAACAAAAAGGAAAATGCCTACAAAAAGCCAAAGCAAAATAAAGGAAAAGGCAAGTCAGAAGCCAAAAATCAACAAAATGAAGTCACTCGACTGGGGGGCACCAAGGCGTCGCGACGCTCAGGTGACGCCGCACAAAAGTGAGCGCATTGCGCAAATGCAGTAGTGACGGTGAGTTAGGCGAATTGAAGTCGTACGACCACCAAGTAACCAAGTAACCAACAGCCAACCAACTGCGCGCAAACTGTCCCGCTACTAGTTGAGCCAAGTCGCTGGCTAATGATGAAGTCATTAAAATGTATGTAAGTGGTAGCATAAAACAAAGCGTTAGCTTAAGCAGTTGACTGCACAGCGACAGCCCCCAAACGCCAGTGGCACAACGAAGAGCAGAATAGCAGTTTCACTCGAGTTTCTAATGATGACTAAGAAGCGCATAAATTACAGAAATCTTTTTTTTTTTTTGTACGTTTTCTAAACACCGCTTGGGAAAATCTCATAATCAGCATTGCGCCAGCGCAGACCTCCAACGATCGACAGCACATGAGCTGGCAGACCATTCGTCATTTGTAGCGCATTAAAGAGTAGCTAAAGCGGGTTCTCTAAACGCGATGCTGCATCGTAATGTATTTGTGAGTATTTGAATATGATAATTTTTGGCAAATTTCAAGCAAAATGGCAGCCAGTCTATGAGAAGCGGATGTCATATCAAACACACAATGTTCGGAAGCAAAAACTTCCAACCGTAATTAAAGATAAACAGATACAAAAAGAAGAGGTTTGTTTTTAATAGAATGATTTTGAATCTTTGATTACTACTTTGTGTACGCGCGGTAAGTGAAAGTTTCACCATTCGGAGTCATTCACAAATCACCACTTATATATTGGGCCTTACTTAAAATGCAAATACCTCTCAGTCGATGAAAGAAGTCAGATTAGATAGAAACCCTTAATGCAATCATTTAGGTTTTTATGGTTTCGTCAAAAAA